CCAGATATTCCAGGCAGACCAATTATTTCATACTTTCTCCTCTACTCTCCCCTATATAGTTTTCCTTACTTCTTCCTCTCTTACTTTCACTCAACGGTTATCTTACCATCCATTTGTTCACCCATGTCATTATTCTTATCTCCCACTTCAGATTCCTTTCCCTGTAGTATATCCTCTACTCATCCTAATGTCTTCATCAGCTTCAATTTCCATGTTTTCTCTATTGACATACAAGCCCTTTCGTCCATTATCTATTCACACATTCATTAAAAAGACACAAAAAAATATCACCTACACACACAATCTATCACCGACACAGAAAAAATCTATCACCGACACAAAAAATCTATCACCGACACAAAAAATCTATCACCGACACAAAAAATTGGTGAAAAATACCATTATGTTTTCATGTAAAAAAGCTTAAGCGCTCGTGGAAAGTGTAAACGCGTTACCATATCCTTGGCAAACATAACTAAATAACTTGGAAGCTTACCCGAGATTGTTCTAGATCACCTTACTTTCACTTCGCAAGTAGGGGCTTTTGCCTGGAAAGCAGTTCGGCAAAAGGCCCAGTGTACCATCACATGGTAATGTGCACATTCAAATACCGTATCCCAAATACCGTATMCCAAATACCGTATATATCCCAAATACCGTATATATCCCAAATACCGTATATATCCCAAATACCGTATACAGCTGTATATCCCAAATACCGTATATATCCCAAATACCGTATACCAATGAACCCCATAAATGTCACACTAACTATGACTTGTATATTTTTTTACCGCAGACTGAATTTGTTGTGATATTTTGTTTGCTGAAACCCGTCTCGACTTTGAAAGGTACCTCACTGAGCATGTTGTGATTATATCGATTTTCTTCGTCTTTCACACGCTAACGAGCCATTAACCTGTTACAACTAGTTTAATAATTAAGTTTTTGACTTATAATTTGTTGGATTTACACTTGGTATTGGGTTGAGCGACTTGCGACAAAAGTACGTTATCTAACGACCGCAAAAAAGAGATGTGAAAAAGGAAATTGASCGTAACGGAAATTGTACTGCACGGGAATGCTTGCGCACCAGTTAAGATACTATGAGYAGCCCAATGATATTACCGAAAAACTGCGYCAAACCCGCAAAGAAAATGAATTATAAATTGGCGCTGGAAAAGTGTTCCAAATTGTTGTTCCAAATATGTCCATGCTTGTCACATTTGCTCTAATACATTTACTTGTCTTAACGTTTTGATTGGCTCATCATACCMATYAATATTCTGTTTATCTCTAAAACATCATCGGCTCCGCCTTGGCTGCGGYTCTGTTAAAAACMTATTAAAATTCTATGATTCTATGGTAGTCCTTTATCAYACCTACATAAAATATTCGATTCTGTCGCATCTAGGGCCAGTCATGATAGCGAAAAAATATCGCGTCCACTRAGATCATTCGCCAAGACTTCTRSGATAGATTCGTGCAATTAATTAACGGCCTAGAATCGAGAATTTTATGTAGGKATGATATTAATCGTAATGTGCTGTACAATTTTCGGCAGAAACCGTCCATTTTGTTGCAACGAATTTCACTTGAGTGTAACAAGGGTTGCTTCGCAACATGATTTCTGTTGATATTAAACAGCATTTCATAACTTTAATATTTAACTTGGAACTGGATTCTAGAGATGAAAGAGTTCCCGATATCGTGTCTCCATAGTTACTTACGTGCTGCTCAACCACTGGTCCGTGGAAATGCCTAAGGGTTACTCACAATTGTTTGGTGCAAACGTTCTTATGGAGACAAGGTCTAAGAGTGACGCTTGGCGAGACATGGCTCAAGGATAGGCGCTATAGACCTTATAGAAACGAAAGAAAGTTATAGTGCTTAGAAGGAGGCAGAAAGACTCTTAGGAATAAATTCGGAGAAATTAATTTCCGACCTCGCTGGGATTCGAACCCACGACCTTCGGAGTAGTACAAATCCGAAGGTCGTGTGTTCGAATCCCAGCTAGGTAGGAAATTAATTTTTCCGAATTTATTCCTAAGAGTCTTTCTCCGGGAATTGCGTCCTTCTAAGCACTATAACTTTCTTTCATTCTATATTGTTCTATCATAGTACCATGCGGTCCTCATATTCATAGCTATAGACCTTAATTTGGACGTCAATTATAGCATGGCGACGAAAACTATCATTACTTTCAATTCCCGACTTTTCAGGATAGCGTCTTTAATCGAGTTCTACGTTCGATAAGTTTTAATAAAATGCCATCATGTTATTCTCTTTTTTCAGTTGTGCATATATACCATTTTATGCACCATATGACATATCTGCGGCTTCATCAAATTTTCATTTTGTGGGCCACATCTTCCTGRAAGAAGTAACGAATGGAAACCAAGTGCAAATTCGAGATGAAAACATATCTGATTGCTGTGCTAAATCAATAGAATACATGTTTGCTTTCAACAATTCGATTTTTTAAAATTATSTTTTAAAGCTGACTTATATAAAATACTAGATAATACATTTAGATAGAACATTGTCCAACCTCTTCCCCGGTGTTATCAGACAGGCATGTTCAATACATGTTTTAGTTTCATTTAACTTATGCCGTTTTCAGAGTACATATGTAAATTGAAATATAACGAAATGCCCCGTTGGACGAGTAGATATATCCTACAAACAGGTTGTCATTTGTCTGTAAAGTCGTTTCAAACCTTTTTCATTTTTTGCAAAAATGCAAATCACAGCATTACAAACATTTCCATTKTGTGTCTCGACGCTGGCCAAATTGATGACCATTTCCTTCCCTTGAGCATTGATTCTGTCAAACTTTGCCATCATTTCGGATTCTTTCCATTTTCCATCGAGTATCATCAGCAGTGCTGACACAGGGTACCCCATTTCTGCCATGTGTGGTGCCAGCAAAAGTAAAGGGGTGCAACCATTTATTCGTGCGTTGACATCGACCACAAAGTTACCATCCTTGTTGGACAGCACATCGATACCAACAAAACCAAAGTAACCATTTTGATGGAGGTATTCYTTGACAGGCATCACCGTGTCGTACARTTTSTCCTTCAATTCATCCTGCTCATTCCAATCAACGTGAGCTCCTTTCCAACCAAAGTGTTGGTCAATATCTTGATTAGTACATCCTAACCACTCAATGYCACCKGTTTTATACAGGTAAAATTGTGGAGTGTAGTTTCCAGTCAMTCCTGTGATGACTTCAGAAATRCTGGGATTCGGGCACCTTATCTCATTTTGCACCTYATCAATGATCTTTTCAGCTTCAAATTTTGTTTTGGCCAAGTATGTTGCTTTTCCTGACATACCATGCGAAGCTTTGATCATACACGGTACGGTGTAGTCATCGAGGGTCATGTGTCGAGGGCAGTTTGCACCCATTGCTGGGATGGTGTTTTTGGACAGGATCTTGTGATGTACATTTGGATCAACGGCGTGYTTTTCTCTCGGCAGACATTGAAGTGGGAATTGGGTAAAGCACTTGCTTTCTCCAGTACCTTCCAGGGTTAAATCACACATGTTGGCCTCTGGGAGGAATGGAAGCCATTTTTTCCAGTGTTGCTTGAGCAATTCCCCAGGYTTGTTTCGCAAAAGAATGGGCAGCTCATTTCCTGCGATGGGGCAGAGCTGAATTGGCTCCAAATAYTGAACTTCAATGTTGAGATACGGCGGATAGTCGTGAACTAAATAGTTCTCATCGTTAAGAAATTTCGCCGTTTGGTTGAAAGTTGAGGGGTACTCAGGCAAGATTAATGCATTGGGAAGATCTTTAGCAAACAAATGTCCAAGAGTAACTACTTTATTAGAGGGATTGTATTGGACACTTTCTTTTTCCATACTGAGGTATGATTCTGAAACACAAGATCAGGTTGATTTTAATTCATTTTCTTACCTTCATCACGATGTATATGCTAATAATAGGGTGAAGACATTGATTGACAACATCCTCAAATTTTGGCTCTCGTGGTGAATGGAAGTTAATCGAAGGTCATCGTCAAAGATTATTTCGTCAGTTTTTTCAAAAGACTCAGGTTTATTACTGGTGAGGAAGCAAGTCATCGTTGAAAAGAAATTGAATACCATTTTACTTGACTCCAGGTAAAATGTATCTCGGCAACAACACAAGTCATCGAAAAATCTGAATTTATTACCGTGATAGTAGTGAATATATTACACACCAAGAAAAGGGGCAACTTCATACAGCAATTYTTGGTGCAATTCTGGCTGATCATGTTTTGTTAATTTAGGGTGAAAACGATTAGTATTTGTTAGAGCTTACGTATCAGCTAAATAATGTGGCTCATTTCGTCAGTTTCCCAATTTTCAGTCGCACACACACATACACAGAGGAAGAGGAAGGGAGAGAGTGGGGGAGATTTCATCACGATATATATGTTAATTTGAGAACATCCTCAAATTTTGGCTCTCGTGGCCTGAATGGAATGTAATCGAAGGTCATCAAAGATTATTTCGTCACTGTTTTTTCAAAAGACTCAGGTTTATTACTCAGGAAGCAAGTCCATCGTTGAAAAAGAAATTGAATACCTTTCTACTCTGAAAGTCACTGGCAACATGAATGGGTACCATGTATTGCCACCTATGCGCAGTGAGACAAAAAGCCCGGACAACGCTAGGATGAAGGATTATCGGTGGACGTGTGGAATCACTAAGATAACGAGGTGTTTCATGAAAACCTCACTCTGGCACGCAAATTGTTGATGATACGATATAGAGTGACATGATGTTTTTAGCATCAAAAGTAAAAAAAAGAGGATTTTAATAATTAGGATAAGGGCGTAATTAGTATAAATCTAACTTGCTTCATTAAATCATTTCAAAATCTATTGATRATAAGAACTAAGTGGAATAAAATACGACATTTATAGCCGTAATGACCTGAGAGACAAATACTATTCTTGGGATGCCTGTGTGTTAGTACCCAGAGTTCCCTGAGATCGCTTTCAAAGATGGCTACCTCACTGTTCGGTAATGTTGGCCGATCGGCCTCAAAGAATTTGTTGGAATTCAGGGCAGGAAAGATGACTTTGAGCGGTACAACAGTAACAGCAGATAAAAGAAAGGGACTTGTKTATATTTACCAGAGTGATGACTCCTTAATGCATTTCTGTTGGAAGGATAGRGGCAATTCAAAAGTTGAAGACGTGAGTGAAACATCATGACGAGGCAAAAATTTATCTTCAAATCTTATTTCATTCTTTTTGAATAGTATTATTTGGATCTCATTTCATTTTTACAAGTAGAGGAATTATATTTCTTAACCTACTTGCGACAATTAACTGACAAACTAAGAAATAAAAAAATTAAAGCCAATATAAAAGACACAATAAGTATCGCTGATTGTCGACTGATTGATAGATTGATAAGTACTGAATACTTTCCTGTTTAATATCGACGCAAAACCAACCATTTTTTCCCCTCACATTGCAAAAAGACAAACAAACTGAAAGTTTTTTGGGTTTGTTGCATGCTTCTGCCTCGCTTTGGTGCAAAACCACAGGCTCCTTGTGCAACTTGTTTTCTAACCGTGAAAGAGGCTTTTTCAAGAGGTGTAGTCTATAGCTATCAAATTACATGAAGTGTACACAGATCAAGGAAAAAGCAACATTAACTCACATGGCCAGTTTGAAGCTTTGTTTTGATCACTGTAAGATTGRATCTTTTTAAAGAACAAAAGGTTTTGGGTTATAAATCAAAAGATTCATCAAGGTGTCACATGACCAGAATGATCGACATTTAAGACTGAAGATTTTTTCCTACAATGTAGGTGATGACATCTGCAGTGTATTTTGGTTATTGTGGATAGGGTACACACTCTAAGATCATATACATACATGTATGTTTAAGTTTTTATGTGCAATATTTTCAGGACTTGATTATTTTTCCTGATGACATTGAGTACAAGCGTGTCAAACAGTGCAACACAGGACGTGTCTTCATCCTTAAGTTTAAATCATCCTCAAGGAAGTTTTTCTTYTGGATGCAAGAACCAAAGACTGACAAAGATGAAGAATACTGCACTAAAGTCAATAACTTATTGAATAATCCACCTACTCCAGGATCTGGTGGTAACAGTGGCGGTGGTTTGTCCAGTAGTCTGGCATCAAACCTTGAAGAACATCTTGGTGAGTTTGAGCCTTAAAATGCTGGTTTTAATGTCAGCCACCACTATTGTCCTGTCATATACTACACTTGAAAGGTTTTAGACAGACATTTTTACATAAAAAGTCTGATTTTATCAATAACTGCACAGGTTGATATGTCAATGGAGTCAGAACATGTAAAATTGWTATTAAAGACTGATAATGCTCAAAAATGTTTGTAGTTTCGCATTAGAGTTGRTGACTCAAAAGAGTTGGATTTCACACTCTAGAAATTGATAAACAAAGCAGTGACAACAACATAATGTAAATACTAGATTGTGTGAAGTCTAACTTATGATGCCAGGGAGAAAAGATTTTGACCATATTTCTATTGTTTTCAACTAATATATACATGTATCTCCTGCTGTGGCATCTCTAGGAAAATACTTTTTATACAGGACCAGGCAATATGAATGCTATCTGATGATATTATGCAATTAGGACTTGTAATAAAGTGGTTTTGATTAATTTTTGAAGTAGGCTTTAGACCCTTTTTGAGAAGGTATCTGATTCTTGAAGAGATCCAGAATCTAGCAAACCTACTGAAGTACAAATGTAATAGGTGGTGAAATTCTCTTGTGAAAGCCCTGCCTGAACACCTAATTTAGAAAACCAGGAAAAATAGTACAAATCCAAAACAGAGRAATAAGATTTTCGTTTTCAACTCAAATTCCAACACTTCTGATGAATGAAACAAAGCCGTTCCTGTATATATTATGCAGGCTGCCATTTTGTTTAAAATGACTGTTGTTGCACAAAATTGCGCCATTGTGTTAAGTGATGTTGAAGCTTTACAATGATAAATACCCCATCTACTGATCATTGGAAGATATTGAGATCATTGTCATTCTTAATTTCAGGTGACAGCCAGTTGCAAGGTCTTTTGGGGAATATGGATCAGCAGCAATTATTGCAACTGTGGAGTGGTCTTGGKATGGGTGGACTGGGATCTAGTGTGACCCCACCCCCTGCTGCTGCCTCACCAACGTATGTTTTATGTTCAATTTGTTCCCTCATAGGGAAATATTAAAACTACCTTAACTAAAAATGTCCTCTATCTAGCATGTCAGCGTTCTTACTGTATGATGATGGTAGAGTCACTTTTGTGCTGGTCTAGTCATGTTTGCTTTTGGGAAGTATGTTKTGGTATTGATAAAAACTATCAAAATGGCTAATGTCTTAATGGACTAGGACAAAATTTCATTTCAAAGTTATGTCCTTAATCAAGGGTACTCAAAGATCTATCTGATAAAGAAGTTGTAAAACATCCTGAAACAAACGTTGCCTTGCAACATGACTGCAGTTTGTACTTTCTCTGACACTACAGGATGGAAAGATCAGTGTTTATTTAAATTCAAATCATTATTGTGAAACAGARTGTTCAGAAATTGAATGTATTAGTTATTAAAAAATTTCGGTTGATCCATACATTTTTAAATATTTTTCATAAATATTTTTGATGTGATTACAGGCCATCTAGGGTCCAGTCMTCCCCAGGACCAAGGAACACAGCCTCTACTACACCAGCAGAGACCCCAACACCACGTCCAGTTACAGCTGCCCCTGYTGCGCCACCACAGACACCTCCTCCAAGACAAGCTGTCCAGCTAAGTGACTTACAGAGCATTTTGTCCAGTATTCAAGGTAATTTTTTGACATCAATTATATTACTTGAAGTATATTACCAATGTTACTTAACCTCTCAATGTTACAGGAAGTAATGACCTCAATTTTTCTGGCTCTTAAATGTACATGTATTTTTGATGCTTTTTTCAGTTCCTGGTCAACCAGAGGATGCRGCCAGTAACAGTCAAGAAGGTTTGTTGTTGTTTTTGTTGGCAATTTATTGATACAGTAGAGATATGAGGATGTAATCTTGATAAAATGGCCGTAGTGTTTGGTTTTTACATGTATAAACTTGATCAGGTTGCATTTCTGACTTTTGTGCCTTACATTGAAAAGTTGAAAACACGAGTCTTGCAGTGTTAAAAAGAGTCTCTCTCTCTTGAGTGCTAAGACAACAGTTTAGCTTGTAGTAAGATATACTGTTTTTCACATCCCCTATATCATTGACAGCTCACCTCTCCATAAAGGMACAATTACATGTATATGTACCATTCAAGTTGGTGTTGTAAAAAGGTTTTCTGACAAAGTCTTTCAGGGTTGTACTGAATGTTCTCTAATGCTCCATGTTTATGAATTAGTTAATTAATGAATTGTGTACATCAGTTAGTTATAAACATGGCATCAATTATGGTTGATACTTTGTTTATAGCGATTGATCTTACTCGTGTTCTGACACCAGACGCCTTAGCTCCTCTACTAAGTAACCCTGAATTCCGTGAGAGGCTGGCTCCATTTCTRCCTTCAGGCAGTGATATGCCTCAGCTTCCCAGTGATGTGTCATCTACTCTCTGGTCTCCACAGTTTCAACAGGTATAGTCAAGAACTATCAGTTAGTCATTTTCACCTTCTGTGAAATAGGAATTGTACTACATGTATTTAATACTTTTACCCCATATTAGGTCCCAATAGTTTAATTTATGACATGTGACAAAGTACCTAGGCAAACACAGTTTTGATTTTCCCTTTTGGTAGCCTACTACACCCTTATAGTTACACTGACTAGTAGTAATTGTTTCACAGATGGATGAAAATGACTCCACTGAAATTGTCAAATGCTAACTCGTCACAAAATCCCATATGTATCCAAGTACCTCAGCAATCTGATCTTTTATTGAAAGTTGCTTTCTCTATATGATTCAAAATCAAATCTTAACTTTTCATATAAGAGAAAATCGTGCAAAGGTTCTTAAATACATGCAGGCCATGTTTTTGCACTGATCCAATCATCTATGTTTGCACTTAGTTTGAAATATGTTTCTTGGAGATATAGAACACTTGTACCATAGGAAAACAACTAAGGAATTCATAGAATAAGTTTAGAAAAGATCATTGTGCTTTTTTTTGCTGTACATATTTGCAATTATTGATCATCTGATTATTTTCAGGCTGTTGGTATGTTTAGTACAGCTTTGCAGTCAGGTCAGCTTGGTCCTTTGATGAGCCAGTTTGGCTTTGGTCAAGAGGTTGTTGATGCAGCTGCYAAAGGTGGTAAGTACTGTTGTCTGGTTACTAACATCCTATCATCATCATCATTACAAGTTATGCAAATCAATCAGAAACAAGAATGTTATAAAAGCTGCAGCCTGTATAATTTTTCTTATCTTATCTTGGCCTCAACCAATAATTTGTCATCATATTGAGACTCAAATTAACAATAATTCTTCATATCATACTTGAACTCATGACAACCAATAATTCTTCATATCATACTCGCTCTCAACCAATAATTCTTCATATCATATAGTCTCAACCAATAATTCTTCATATCATATAGTCTCAACCAATAATTTTCCATATCATACTCGCTCTCAACCAATATAATTCTTCATATCATACACAGCCTCAACCAGTGTTGTTTGTTTATTATTTGTAGATATGGTAGAATTTGTCCGTGCTCTTCAAGCTGCATCAAAATCAGAAAAACCAACTGATGATAAGAAAGATGAAGATATGGCATTAGACTAGACTAAGCCTTATTGAAATATCAGCAAAAATCTTGGAAATCTTTCATGTTTGTCCTTAAAATGAGAAAACAATAAAAGAAAATACAGCAAAGTGGACTTTGTATTTCTTGGGTTATTGATACTAACATAGGAACTCGTCAAGATATTGTTTTTACTTTATAAAAAGTGGATTTTATTTAYATTTATGTTATAAGCATTTTGCATCACAACCAACATGACATTTTCCTTTAATAAAAAAAAAAAGCTGTATTTCCTCTCAATGATGATAGTTTCAAATATACAATACAGTATCTCTCTTCAACATACTATGAMATACAAAACAATTGCACTATTCAAAATGCAAGATAGGAATTTATAGATATAGTGAATGCACTCTAGCAAGAATAATGTCACTAATGGATATAGTGTTCAGCTTTCGAAGGTTTCTGACACATAAATACTGTAGCCATGTCTTTATTGTTTTCTTTGAAATACAAGGTTCAGGATGGAGATTGTCATCTTCAAAGACCTGATGTCATCTTGCATCAAATACAACCACTGTAGCAAATGATTAAGGAAAATGCTGGGTGATTCTATAGCAATAATTGAACAAGTTTGCAAAAAAACAAAAACAAAAAAAAAAAACAAATAAAAGCTTTCTTTTGTAGCTATCTTTCCAATCGCTTCCTCAGTGTCCCCCAGTGGTACAAAGGCACTGTTAACTTTCAAGATGGTGCTARGGGTATTACCAATCCAGACAATAGTTGAGACGTACAATTAGTGATAGATTGCTGTCAATCAACAACATTTGATCTTTGACTGACAGCAGACTTTTTCTGATTTTACTACTTTTGTGTGAACATTCTTTATATTTAGTAAAAGGATACTTCTTTTAGTTCTCTTTTTATACATTATTCTGTAACCACATTCTCTGCATCGGATTGGATCTCTTGATTTGATCTCGTTCTCAGCATGACATTCTGTGATACAAGAAAAGAACCTCAAAAGTCAACACTACAATTTACTACTTTAGGCTCCCTACTTTCCTTATGAATGCCTCTCTGGACCCAGTTGACGTTATAAAGWTTGAAGCCAWTTAACACGAAGCGTTTACTCAAAGGACACACGTTAAGTTAATGAAGTTTTCACAAGCACRTGTTTCGTCAAACATTTTYCCTTTTCTTACCTCCACATATATAAATCATGGCTTGCTGCCTGCTACTTTGACCTTGAGGTTGTTGRCTTGTGTCCATTATCGTTAAACTAGYTACAGTTTTGATATTTCTTGAATTAAATACAACTTTTAATGGAAGTTCGAAAGTTCRAAGTTTTCAAAATGGCGGCGGTCGAAATTACACAGGRCTCCCGTAAATTATCAACAAGTACCACAGGGAACCCATTCAACCCTATATCAATCAATCACTGTACAAATTAATGAWTAGTTTTTGTTTATTCTTTTCTACTATACCATTTATTCTATTACAATAATACAAATTGATAAGTAGCCTAATTTCCACATTAAATTCAATTCACACTTTTTGTCTAAAATAGCACAATTTCTAGCTTTTCTGATTCAATATGTCCACTTCTAAGCTCTTCTTGTTCTTCTACTTCATCAGTAATATAATTGTCATTAATATAATCAGAATCACTATCCCTTTCAATCCCATCCATCCCTACTTCCCCCTCACTCTCATTTCTAAAACTGTGTTTCTGATTGAAATGCCGACTGGAATTATYAAACAAAGGAAGTTCAAGTGCATCAACTGACTGTTCATCACAGCCTAAAATTTCACCAATAGGTATGAGATCCCATTTAGTTTGAGACTGGTCTAAACACCACCCTGAATCCTGGAGCGCATTAGAAGTGGAAGCACTTTGACCAACCCTTTCTTGTTGATCCTGGAAATTGTCAATTGATTTCATCTCAAAGTTTTCTTTAGGAAAATGATCAAATGACYTCTGTAYTTGAAAAACWTCYACAAGTGACMTTATCTTTTCCTTCTGTRTGTCTGGTATGGCAGGAGCTTCATCTAATATTAATTCAACAAAATCTTTTTGAAGAAAACTYGGATTTCTAAGACAAACTTCCAACAATGTTAACCATGGAAGCTTTGATGTAAAAGTTGGATTGCTTTGAGAAGACGACTTCATAATCCACAGAACCCATGACAARCACTGTTTACTGACASCAATGCTTGTCTCAGAGAATGTTTCTAATGCCRAAAGAACAAACAATGTTATAAATTCAGGTGATTCTCTATCCAGYGCTTTGAACAGTGGTAACCAAACTTGGATCATTTCTTCAGAAACATGTCTCTGTACTGATTCTGATTTATTGGAATCTATTTCRTCATCCTTTATGCAATTTTGGAAGTCTTGCTTTAGAAAAACTTCGTGAAGGTATGACCTGAAATAACAAATGTATCAACCATGACTTACAATACACACACACAAAAAAACAAGAATCAACAGCATTATCTATTACCATAAATTGTTACTAGCAACAAGATTTGCAACATCTTCAGCCAAAGATTGAACTTTCAAAGCCTGTTTTTCAATATTTTTCTTCTTTGTTTTTCTTACAACTGCAACATCAAGATATTTCTCAATCAATGAAGATAAATTTTGCTCGGAATCTCTATGTGCCTTCACTTGTGCCTCCCAGTACTCCTCCTGTAACCATGACAATGCAACTTTAATCCCAGCACGCAATGTATCTTGGGAAGGGAGGTTTGCATGAGTTGCTTCATGTCTCAAATCAACTAGCCAATCAGGTAAGCCTATTTCTTCAGCTATTGAATGCACAGATCGAGCATAAACACCCTTTTGATTCATGTCTGCCATTCCATTTACAAAACGAACAAGGGCCATGGAGAGCATAAGTTGTTTTTCTGTGGTAAACGCGCTTGACTGTGTGTMCGTCAAGTTTGCAAGCACAAGATCAGCTGTGCTTTCGATTGCAAGTGGCAATTTGCCTCCACTTCGACTCTTCCACGCAAGGACTCGATCTAAACCTTTTCTCTGAAGGTCAGGATTGTGAAAATCAAACAAGCATTGATAAATGCCCAACCATTCTTTTCGATTCATCCAACACACTACACGTGCGTTACTYGCCATGATGAAGCGCGTTTCAATTAGGCGTTCCTTGWATTCCGGGTAGACTGGATCTAGCTCGTGAAGCACTCTGGGATTTCCAGCACATGTGCGCCATCTTGTGGTGTTGATTTCTTTGTTGTGATAAAATACTCATTTTTGTCACAATTATCCGAAAAATGGGGGACAGTGACGAGGAATATGATAGACGAAGGGCACGTGATAAGTTTCGCCGCGAAAGAAGTGATTATAATGATCGTAGACGCGATAGAGATGATCGAGGAGGTTCCAGAAGAGAAGACTGGTCGGACAGAAGACGAGATCAAGGGTCGTGGGATCAAAGACGAAGAGGCGAATATCGAGACTTTGAACGAGGACGGAGAGATAGTTCTGGCCGACATCATGAAATGAGTCCTCCAATGCCGAAGCGTATGAGGAGAGATTGGTAATAAATAAGAAATCAACACACCCTTCTAGATTCCCCGACACCCTGCAACAATACAGCTGCAAATGTCCAATATGCAGTTGCCTTGTTAGTCTTGAAACTGTAGAAAATACGGAAAATGAAATACTGAAAATGTAATACTCAATGTGGGATGAAAGTAAACGTCATTTAAGAGAAATCTGGGTCTGGGAGGTAGAATTAAAGTAAACTTGTTRATGATAGTTTGCCCGTGTATTAAATCAGATTAGTACATCCATACAATACTCTTACTATATCACTAGCAAYGTCTTGTGAAACAACTATATATTGATCATTGTGTTGTTTCCAGGGATGAGCCATTTCACAATGATGGTAATTTCCCCTATGGGGGAGGAGGTAACAATGCAGGGGGAGGCATGCATCATGGCTGGAATCATCCTGGTGGTGATGTTCAGCAGATGCAGATGGGGCAGGATGCCAGACAGATGAGGTACGTCTTGAGTTAATCTATGATTAGTAGATAGGGYACAGTACAAACTTTCACTGTGAATTGAACTCCAGGACCTTAGTTGAGTGTCTTAAGTAGCAAAAATAACAACTCAGCATATCATGGGTGTATTAACAAAAAACACTCTTCGTGTGATCTTGAGGAGGGGATGGCCTGCGCGCTTTATCCCATGAATGAAACAAAACAAACAAACAAGTAGCAAGTATCATTTGTAAAGGGATTTATTATAATGRTGCAGTAATTCAAAAATTTGAAACTGGATTTATTTAAGAAGTCCATAATAACAGTTTGAATATTGGGGTGTCTACAATACATGGTACTATAAAGAACCATTATCTCTTTCCTCAGTGTACAAAGATCCTCTTCTCTCTACTCTCTTTTAGAGAAAATTTGCTCTCATACAAAAATTTCATTTGAAAATTTAAGGTTCAATGTTTTGATAGAAAAGTTTGTTCTCCTTGGACATTTTCAATGATTTTGCAAATAAGTAATAAAAATAATGAAAACAATGTTATTTTAGACCTGATGGTTCAGCCGAGGGACACCAGGGACCTGTTATGCTGACCTTYAAACAGTTCCTAAATGCACAAGATGATAACATTGATGACATGGAAGCAGTGAAAAAATACCAAGAGTACAAACTAGAGTTTCGTAAAACCCAACTTGGAGATTTTTTTCAGCAGCACAAAGAAGAGGAATGGTAGGTGCAGKAGATGGATGTCGTTATTGTTGTAGTTGGTGAATCTATCTTGGTGGACAGTTGTTGTTTACACATTACATGAGTTATTGTACTCCTTGGAATTAAGAAAAGTTGTTTCAAGGGGAGTGATACTCCTTGAAAAGATAACAATCTCCTTAGAATACTTAGTACTACTTGAAAAATGCACAAATCTTGTATTACAGTCTTTAGATCTAACATTGAAATTACATGAATTATGTACACACTTATTGTTTTATGTTGTTGTTGATGTTGTTGTTGATGTTGTTGTTGTTGTTGTTGATGTTGATGTTGTTGTTGTTGTTGATGTTGTTGTTGTTGATGTTGTTGTTGTTGTTGTTGATGTTGTTCTTAACATAAGTAACCATAACATGTGTAAATTAGAGATAATGTTAAATTTATAAATATTGTTTTGTGAAAAAGAGATATTGTGCTGACTGTCTGTCTGTGATTGTTTCTAATACGCCACATTACCTTTACAGCTGTCGTATGTGTAATAGAGGGACGCTTGGCGGATGATATCAGTCTTGTTGTGCTGGCTTAGTCAGCTATTCTAGTACCTGGGCAAAATAGCCCCCCACATTTCACCAGATGAAACAGTCATACAAGATAAAACTTTTTATTCATGACCTCTGCGCACAATGCAGCTGGTTTTCTAGGCTTTTTGTAGTTTTTTGCTCTAAATCTGAGCATTACAAGCCACAAGGCTTTTTGAATTAGTGTAGRGTTATGTAAAAGTTTTGTTGGAAAGAAAAAGATAATTCAGGCATAAGATTTGCACATTGGAAGGTAATGTTGAAGAACCATTCACCATGTTAAATAGGTTATCACTATCAGTGCTAGTGTCTAAATTRCTTGAAATGTTTCTCAGGTTTAGAGGTAAATATCATCCTAAAGAAGCAGCAATAAAACAGAAAGAAATGCAAAAAGCAGTGAGACGAAGAGTTTCTTTCTTCCTGGAATTAATGAAGTCTGGTCGTGCTGATTCCCTGTTGCTGGACACAGAACATAGTGATGACATTGTGAAACTGTTGGATGCAGGTATTCCATTTTGCACTTAACTCTCTCACTTGTTTGTCAAACAATCCATTCTCTCTTTCATTAGTGATAACTCATCAATCCATCCATTGTATTCCTTAGTTGATCTATTCATTGTACCATCCATTGATCCATTTTACTTAGTTCATTCGTATGTTTGATTTCTTTTATTCATTTTTGAAGTGGTCATCAAGCTTGAGGGAGGATCAGACTTTGACTTGTCTATCCTGGACCGTTCACCATCGCCAGAGAGAAAACTGGGTGATGACAGAGATGGTGAGAAGCTTTCCAAAAGAGACAGAAGAAAAGAAAGTGCTAGATCCCAGTCTAGCTCGCCTTCCCGTTCTCCTGCTGCAAGAAAATCAACGGAAAAGAAAGGTATCAAATGGGCATCACCAATCAATCAATCAACCCATCAATCCATCAGCCAATCAATCAATCAATCAGTCAATCAATCATTATTTTAATAATATTAACTTATTACACAAATAGATTCTAGTGAGGTTTTCATCCCTCCAGTATCGCCATCATCCGTTCCTTTACCTGATGCTCCTCCACCTAAAGGTAAACCAGAAACTGCCTCTCAGAGTGATGCTAAACCCATGTCAATGCCTGATCCTACACCAGAACAGAAACAATTACAGCAAAGAGCACAACATTATCATCAACAGAGTCAGCATTACCAGGTTATTGTCTATGCATTCATTCATTGGTAATAATACTCCAGTTTCTAATTCTCTTTTGTGCAAGCTCGGCTTCAATCAAGCATATTAAATTTATTGATTTTTTTGTTCACAGAGTGTTTGTATTACAATAGATTCTCTATGAATGCCTTCGAGGTTAAGCCTCGAAGCAGTATTAAATGGAGTATTAAGTGGAGTATTATTACGCTTAAAACATTGGTGTTCCTAAGGGGTGTGAAATATCATGAGTATTGTTCAGGTCAACATTGGAGTATGATAAAAAAGAATAGACACCACTGCACAAGYATTTAATGACTGATGGTTAATTCTATTCATAAACTTCCTCTTGGACATGAGAAATATTAAAAAGTGATGGGTTAAAGCACAGCCGAGTCCCCATTTTTGCAGAAAATATCAGCAAGAAAAATCCAAATCAAACTTGACAATACTGTAGATTGCATAATAACAACTGCAACTATCCTTAATCGGGCAATACTCCAGTTTCGAATTCTCCAATGCTCTGTGTTAGCCTCATTTGTGTGCAAAATATTYCTKMTTRTGAGCGTAAAAGTGTGAGATTTCAAATCAAATTTATTGTCTTTCTTCACAAATTCCATGCGTTTTCTCGAGCTATCAATGAAACAATAGAATGTGTTACTTGGTTTTGAGGCTAACACAGAGCAAACCAGAACTCGAAATTGGAGTATTCAGCTCACTTATTGTAGTGTTTTCTTGACTACATTTCACTTCCTGCAACCTGTTTGATATTTTTATTACATTCTCAGCAACAGTCGGCAGAGCAATCAGGACAACAAGAAGAACCAAAACCCACTGAGGGTACAAAGGTAAGCTTGGGTTTCAACACATTACTTTTATGTGTTGAGAATAAACATTATGCAGGGATACTTAGAACCAGCATTATGTCAGAATCCCTGATTTTCAAAGAAACAACTTGGTATCTTACATTAATATTGAATTGYGTATTATTTGCTGATAAAAATGATATTTCAGAATTTGAAGATCTTTTAATTTACATGTACAAACATATCTATATGGTTACAGCTTCTCAGTGTTTACATTTATTTTCAATGAATGTTATTAAGTTGAATATTCCTAATATTAACTTTATTTTAGGATGAACCTGGTAAGAAAAGACGTAAACATCGTCACCGTGAACCATACTATTATGATGCAATGGAAGATGATAGCGAAAGTGAGTCAGACTCAGAATCTGACTCAGAACCAGCKCCCCCCGGTGAGGAAATAGTGTCAAGTGAATCTAAAGGCGAAGAGGAACTACTACCACCAGGAGTTGAGGCTTCTGCTGGGGATACAAGCATTCAATTACCAACAAGCTCATCRGGCACTGACATTGTTACTAAACCAGCTGACAAGTCAGGTAGGATATAACATGATAGTGACATAGAGAAGTTAAGAAGAGCGGTAACTGTAGCGTCTTTCTTTTCCAATGTCTTCTTCTTTTTAATGTAATTCTTTTTATTTGTATTTCTTTTTTCAATGTCTTCTTTTTTTTTTCTTTCTTTTTAAAAAAGCTATAACACAAACTCCCTTCCCTCTTCCCTTCTTTTTTGCTCTGCTTTGGTTTTTCTCTCCTCTTCCATTTTTCCATTCCTTTCTTACTTTTTTGTATTTCCTGTTTCCTATTTTTCATCTCTTCTCCTTTCTTCACTTTCCATTCTCTTTCTCTCTTCTCATTGAAATTCATCCCCTGTTTCTGTGCCTTTGCTTGTATTTTTGTTATCTCATGTTACTAWCGTAGTTAATATACTTGTTTATGTAGAAGCTGATGAAGCAGCRGTAGGTTCAAGTGAATCTGTCACCAGTCAAGATAAAAATCCAACAAAGGCAACAACTTCAATGTCAGGTAATGGATGTGCCAGTTCTTCTATTGATATAACATTGAAGTTCACTGTAGAAAAGTAATGCTCATGAAAGCACTATATTTTTGTTATAATAATTCTCCTCTCTCTCTATCAGATGATGCAGCAATTGATTCCACTCAAAGCCCAGACCCCAAGAAACCATCTGAGAGTCCTGACCAATCAGAGGAAAGTATCAAAACAGGAGACCCYCAGGTTGGGAGTACTGTCAATAATGATAATGGTATTAGCACAAGACTAAGTGAGGATGTAGAGATGGTTGCTGCTTCATCTAGTGAAGCAGAACGAAGAACTTCACAGGATGCTGAGACAACATCAAATGATGTCAAACCACCATCGACACCTGTCACTCCTGACATGGCCAAGGTGTGTTTGCTATAGAAAAAAAGAGAAAAAGAAAACAAKGAAGGGAAAAATGAGTGGATGATAAAAAACTATTTTAGATTATTTTCAGTTGACTTAGAAGAGATGTTTAGTAGCAATGCATAAACTTTATAGGGATATAACACTGATTTTTYATTTGTTTACAAACAGAAAAATGAAGAAGCTATAGATTCTAACAAACTAGCAGAGAAAAAAGAAGTACAAGAAGAAGAAAGTCCAATGAAGACAACACCAATCAAGGAATCAAAGGAGAATACCATTGAAGAGAAGGAAAAGGATTCTGCAGAAGAAGGAGAAGCAAAGGCAAAGGAGCCATCTTCCCCTGAACCAAGACCTCTTCACAAGACATATTCATTATTCATGAGAAATATACCTCCTAACATCTCCAGGACCGACATTGGCGCTGTATGTTTGTGTGTTTTCAGTTATTGATTGATGTTTCATACATTATCTCACTAATCCCATGGGCTGACACCTCAACTATGTTATATGTTGTTTCAGATTTGCAAGAGATTTCCTGGTTTTCTTCGAGTTGCTCTGTCAGACCCAAGCCCAGATAGGAGGTACTCATTCTGTCTTTTCTGTCTACTTCTTTTCTCACATTCTTTTTTTCCTTCAAATCTCATCCACTTTCTTCTTTTTCTTTTCTTTGTTTTGATCAAAGTTTGTTGTGTTATTTTTCCTGTTCATGTAAACATTGCTTTATCCATTGACTTATAATTGAATTGATTTTTAATAGATTTTAYCGAAGAGGCTGGATAACTTTTGAAAGGAGTGTTAACATCAAAGATATCTGTTGGGATTTGAAYAACATCAGGGTACATACTGACACTTTACTAGTACTTCTACAAAAACACTTATCTACCATTCATACTTTGCAATTAAATTCTTTTCCTTGTTTGTTGATTATGATTTCTTAACTCTACAAACAAAAGTATTTTTCAAAATKTCTTGATGAGAAAATTACATTCTTGTATAATAATTTGTAATAAAGTATGAATATATGCCAATTCTATGTGGGCAATATTAGATCTTTTTTTCTGTAAATSCAGATCAAAGATGCAGAACTAAACCCTGTAGTCAATCGTGATCTGTCRCGTCGTGTTCGTTCAGTCAGYGGAATTACATTTGCAAAACAAGTGATCAGGGAGGACATCAAACTGGCTGCTCAGTTGGTTAGAATACTGGACAAAAAGGCTGCTGTGTATGAGAAAGAAAAGAAAACAGAAGAAACAAATGGGAGTGAAAAGGAAAAGGAAAGTGAGGTATGCTAACTATCCCATGAATGATGTTGATGAAAGTTGTAGGATATCAGAAAAAATTCTAAACTGTTTCATCATCTATCCATATATAATATGTCTATGAAATGGTGAGAAATTCCTGTCATAACCTTCCGATGCATTGACTATACAGTAATATACTAAATAAATGTGTTCTTATTACTCATGAATGATGATGGGAAGAGAACATTGATATTAACACATTGTTGTAGTACTTAAAATATTTTATATATTATCTCTGGGGTGAGTTAAATCATAGTGAGGGTACTAACCAATAGATAAATTTTTATTCACTGGATAAACTCCCTATTTATATAAATTATACATCCTTTGTATGATAACTGGCCCTGGAAGTCATCCATTGCACAGTCGGCTCAAGTTGTAGTGATTCAGTACTGCTGACTTGTTTTCTATTGATAACCTGTGCTATAAAWAACTCACTGTGCAACACTCTGTCATTAGATGCTTGTGGTAGAGTTACTTTTTGTGGGACAATAAGCCAGTAATGCAATATATAGAGGCTCTAAACAAATAGCTAAACCGTACACTCAATAGTACATCTTTGGAAATATTATGAAAGCTACTTTTTCATAATATTTCTGACATTGTGTCAGAATGAATAATTGGTGCAAGCTCTCCAGCTTGTACTTRGAAAAGAAGATAAATCCAAATGATCTTCAATATCTCGATGCAATGTTTTGTGCTGATGAAATGAAAAACATGTTTATCTTCAGAAAAAAGAAGAAAAGGAAGAAGGAGAAGAAGGACCATCAGAGGAAAAAGAACCTTGCTTCAACATCCCTGATGCTAATCCTATCCTAGCATCCCTGTCAGAAGATGCTACAGAAGAAGAAGAAGGTGAAGAAATGGAGCTACTAGGAACGTCATCTGCCACTAAGGACAGTACRGARCAATCAGAAGTAGACCTGACGGTTGATGTGAACCTACTGCGTGTGCTTGATAGAATGATACTCTATCTTCGTGTTGTGCATTCAGTGGATTACTACAATGGTGGAGACTATCCCCATGAAGATGAGATGCCAAATCGATGTGGAATAATACATGTCAGAGGACCAGCTCCAGAGAAAGCTACGCAATCTGAAGGTAAATTTTAACACCAACAAAAMGTTTTCAAAATTTTGAAATRAAAACTTTAACCTGAAKAAATAATAATGGTTTAATTGAGTATTAATTGGATGAAAAGATGATGTGAGAGTGCTACCTGTCAACACTTTTTTATTCATTTACATGTCATCTTTTGTTTTAGTCCAAGAATGGCAGAAGTCATTGAAACAAAAACTTGAACCTTACATGGAGAATAAAGAGCCTATTAGTGATGAAGAAGTCTTGAAACTSGGCAAGAAAGATCCAGAAGCATATCCTTTGATTATAATTCTTTTCTTTACAGTGATTGCTAACAACTTTAATATTAAAACTATTATTGTGGCCATTATCTTAATCATCTTCACAAATAATAGTGAGTATAAATACTGTATGTATACCAGTAAAACACAAAGAGGAACCTTTACTGCCTTGGTGCAGTGAGCTGGCCATGCAATTCAACTGTTTTTATCACTGTTTTCCTTGACTGTTCTTACTGAAATTGAAAAGTTTGTTGAAGCCAACACACAAGAGCTCTCTAAAGACAAGTGGCTTTGCCCTCTGAGTGGGAAGAAGTTTAGAGGACCAGACTTTGTCAGAAAACACATCTTTAACAAACATGCTGACAAAGTGGAGGCTGTCAAACTAGAGGTATACAGTGGAATATATTATGGTGTGATACCATGCAACATTGACAATATAATAGGATATGAAACCAGTACGTGCTTTAGCATAGTAATATTGCATGCTGTATTTTTTATTTGCATTTATACAGTGTCTATGCCAGTAAGTATCGCATGCACAGTCGGCTCAAGTTTTGGTCTTTCCATACCACAAACTTGATTATATAAAAATACCTGTGCCATAGAAAACACCACTTTGCAACCCTTAGTCATGTGTACATTTTGACAGAGTTACTAAAGAGTGGTGATATTATTTTTAAGAATTTGCTTAAACCTGTGTTGTATTTCCAACAAATAACTCCATTTTATAATTGCTATTTATCTATTACGTATATCATCAATCCAGGAATCCATACAACCATCACTTTTTCCATGCATTTTGTAGGCAGAGTTTTTCAATCGATACTTGAGTGACTCAAAAAGACCACAGGACCCTGAGCCAGCAGCCCAGAAAAATGCTGGTCCTCAGGGGGGKCATGTAGGGGGACAAATGTATGGTGGTCAGCAGCATGATGGGCAAGGCATGATGGGATGGAGTCCTAGACCTCATATGATGATGTATGGTGAGTACCTGTAAACAAACATTTCATATTCAAATAAAAGAAGCATTATGCACAATATGGCAAGTACAGTGCTTTGNTGAGTGTTTGCTTGTGTATTAGCAATGCATGATGGTATTGTTTGGTGTTTAGGTCCACGTGGTCCATATGGAACCCCACATTCATTTGGAGGGTTTGGTCCAGAGGGATATGGTAGAGGGGCAGCCCACACCTTTCCACCAAAGCCAAGAAGGTAAATACCTCAATATCATTGTCACTCTATTGACAGGCCTAATAATGTCTGCATAATGCTATGTCAACTTAGTGTCTTATCATTGTAGTGTCAAATGACAGCTATCACAAAATGTGCAGCGAATGGGGTTTTGTTGTACAATGCTTTGTGACTGTAGCTCACTTTAGCATCGTACCACTAACAAGATACATGTATTTATATTGCCATTGTTACAGCCTGCATGGCTGTCTATTGCTTTGCATTTTTGTTTTACTGTTGTATAGACCATAGCATGTTCTCATTGCTGTTAGAAATTGTGTAGACTTAATGCAATTTGTACTTTTGTTAAGAATTTCCACAACAAAAATCATTTTTGTTCATCATTAATATAACCAAATTTATTATTTATTTTTATTTTGTAAAAATAATAGTAAATTTAACACTAATACGAAAATTAAAATGTAAATAATTTTAAATTGATTAGATTTGGAGATGGTGGTCGTGGTTTTAGGCAGCAGGACAGGTCAGCAATAACATCTTATRGGACTCTCAAGGGTTTTTGTTTTGCCACAATTTCTAAACAATTTTTTTTCTTTCACTTGACAAGTATCCTTCAGAACCCTTCATTTTTTGGGCTTCTTTTGAGGGACAGGAAGCCCAGCAAAATGGTTGGGCTTTGAAGCAGACTATTTCAATCACACTTGTTGCACAAGGCAAAAYCCTTGGGATATTTACAGGGATGATTTCTTTTTGATAGTTTTAGATCCATCGTGGTGTTTCTTTCATGGCTGATGTTGTTSATTTGGAATGTTTTATGGTGTATTTTTTTCAGGGGATTTCATAGAGAACAGCGACARATTGTACAGTATAGGGACCTTGATGCACCTGAAGACACTGATATGTTCTAATGCTGGACAGATGATTGCTCAAGACATCACCAACATTTTCTTCTTATCTATGGCCATTTATATATTACATGCCCTGCAGTAACTTATCAACAAAATGTAACTTATTACAGTATCAAGCAAAGTAGTGRTATAAATGTTTGTCAGTAATTAGGAATTTATAATAATTATTATTTTGTCTCTGACGGTAAAAACGTTATAGTAAAGTAAGCTGTAATTAATTGTACTTGACATGTGATTTAGATGGGTCGTCTATGGTTTTCTGAGACAGGAAGCCCAAATTACTATCACTGGTCGTGGTAGGTCTTGTGTCAACATAATCTTCCCTTTTTAAGTAATTTAATATTGTGAATAGTAAATAAAGAATGACCTAATCTTAAAATTGTGTATTTGTGATAAGCCCTAGACTAATTCAAAATTCAAATAGCAAGGGACACCCTGTCGGAAGCTAGATAAACCCAGGTAGAAACTACTTCAATATAAACATGTTTGGTCTTGRTCACTTTGAGAAAAACAAAACAGAAAACATGGAAGTAAGCTTCTAGTGAAAAAGAAAGAAACTTTTCAAGGAAGAAGGGGGACAGAGTGCAATTTACTAGCACACAAAATGTATAGTACTTTTATTGAAAAATCTGAAGTTATTAAAACTGAAATAAAATTTGACAATTAACAGGAAAAAATGGACTAATACCCTGTGAGATTGGTCACCAAGACCTATGTAGAATCTTGTATAAGTATGCAAAATAAATAATAAAATATTAAATGTAGGAAAATAACACTCCAAATATGCATTGCATGTAATGAAATAAATATCTTAATATGCAAATAAGCTGAATTTAATGAAAAATGATATTTTGTAGATTATTTTAGATCCTGGACAACTATGCCAAAAAGAACATTCAACTTCATCAAGCACTACATGCATCTCCAATAAATTTCACTTGAGCCATTTCGCAAACATTTGTAGCGCAAGTTTAAATTGTGGTCTGAGCTAATGCAGGTACCGCACAACTAGCTTTACTCAACATAAGACTAATATATTCATGAAATGATTGCAAACTGAAATAACCAAATCAGTCTATTTAATCATTTTCTATTATTTATYAGTGCAATATTTTTGTACAATTTCTCACAAAATGTTCAATATTTATGAATGCACTATACTAGGATAATGACTGACTCTGCAGCTGGTCACCTTGTATACATGCAGTGCCACCTGAGAACTAGCTTTATAATGTTGCAATTTTTGAAAAAAAAATTTTCTTGAAGTGATGTGGTTTAGGAGACTCAGCAGGCTAAAGAAGGGATGGTTAATAAAATAAAAATATTCCCTTAACCTTTACTAGGAGTCTRCCATTCTAAGTCACTCTTACTGCAACCAGAAGGGATAGATGATAATTTACCATTTCAGCAAATAATATTTATCATAAAATATCATTTCTTGATCATCAAGTGTCGCTCATTCTCAACTGCTTTTCAGTGTCATTTTCAGTCATTCTGACTCCATAATTATTCAAAAACTCTGCAATATCTCGTTTTCTTCGTCGAGAAGACTCTCTTTGCCCTAAAGATGGGGACTGTTGGCATTGTTCAAACTCTTGCTTATCAACCGGTTCAGGTTTAACACGAATAAGGGCTGGACATGGAGGTGTAGTTGAATCRCCACTTGATGAACCAGTATCGTGAGACTGAACTCCAAGACTCCTTTCCAGGAAGGCTCTCACAAGAGACCTCTCATTCTGACCAGAACAATCATTTTCAGGTACTTCAGTTTTGACAGTAACTACAGCTGACGATGTRGATGGTTCATGGTTACTATAGTCACTGTCATTGTTTACAAGTGGGTAATGCTTGCGCCAGTGTGTTGCCATGGTAATATGAAGACGTTGCAAATGGTCGTTAATGGTGCTGAACTGCCATGACCATTTGATGTTATAGAGGAATGGGCGATGGTCAAACCTGTTGTCATCAGGCGAGTACGATTCAGCGTGGTAAGATGGTGTAAGAGTTGTCATCTTGTGTCTATTTATTGAATAGAAACGGAAGAAAAGCTTGACTTTTTCAGCAACTTGTGCTGGTGTGCATTTGTCATGCCAAAGGTGAACTAGCTTACAGAACATGCTGTAAGGACCACAGCGCARGAAACTACGATAGTGACCATACACAGACAACTCATCATATGTCATCCCCATGTCTTCCTACAAGACAAYAGGTATCAATGTGAAGCCAGCTATAACCAAACTCTATCAATTACATAAATTATATTATAATGACATGGCTTTTATGAGTTTTYCATACAGGGTTTGTGTCTTTCTATTGTACATGTAAAGTATAAATTCAATGCAATTTGGTAATTGTATAATAATCACCAATAGTATTACCATGAAGACAAGCCATGATAACCTAAACATGTCTGTTATGTACTGTCAATAAAAGATCAATCTGGTAATGTAACACATCTGAACATGGACAGGAGTCAATGGCTGCATGACCACACCTATAGCTGTGATGCAAAGGCAAAGTAAYCTTGCAAGATGGTGTACTGTCAAGAAGACTTACCTCATCTGTCTGCTGAATCTGTCCATCAGCAAGKGGYTCCAGCTCAGCTGTTGGTGGTGCACCAAGGATTGTTATCAAAGARCTAAARTTGAATTTTTCCACACAATAAAATATGAAAGACCGTAAGTCCTTCTTACTGATGCCACCGATAGGATTGATGTCTGCACTGGAACAGTCATACTTGGTAAAGTACCCTCTTAAGCTGAGACAGGAAAATAATCAGGTCTCAATTAATAATATTAATGAAAAAGCAACATAAAACATACAAAAATCACTTAATTCAACAATGGGAAATCACTATGATTCTATTCAATTATTTCATTTCCTATAAATGATCTTTTTGCATATGAATTCAAGCACAATTTGTGACTTTTTAATAAGCAATTTTCTAACAACAAGTCTTTTGCTTTTTTACCTTTCATCCACRTTAGCAGACCCAAGCACAAGTAGACTTCCTTGTAAACCACGAGACCACATAATCAATTGAGCAAACAGATAAGCAAAAACCATACGTAACCTTGCTTGGACATTTTGCAGTGCAAGATTCTCACAATCTGAACCACCTCGGACTTTGAACTTTGGAATTTTGCAGGCAACTAAGGTGAAAACAGCAAGAACTGCTGCTACAGCTGTATYGATGTTAATATCTGGTATATTAATAACAGTAATAAAGTATTAGAACAATACAATGGAGTGAAAGTATATGGTGGGAATTGTACCAAAATTCAAGACAGTTGAACAAGAATATGGTAAGAAAGCCAAAAGAAAGAAAGTGTTTATAATGAAATATGTACCTAGATGGTAGCTGCCAATCTCCTCAGCAAGGTTAGCAGCTCTAGTCTTTGTCTCTCTTGATGAGTTCTCTGTTCCCATGTAACAAGTTACAAATATTCTGTTGGCAAATTCACGAGGGTTGGTAGGAATGTACTCACTGAAAAAAAAAAAACATTAAGAAGACCTGTTAGAGTTTATGAAAGCTGGAAAGTCACATTTAAAAATGTCCAATGACAAATGTCCTTGCTGCATGTACAATGTCCAATATTCACCTGTCACGAACAATACGTTGTGCATCTTCCAAGACTTGTTCATCACCATTTTTGACAGCTTGACAGACCAAATGACACATGGATGCCACAATGCAAGCAGTTGATGAGCTATCAATTCCTGGAATAACATGAAATGACAATCAATTGATGATGCTAAAAACAAGGTGAAAAAGCTAATTTGGGACAAAAACTAACAAAAAGGGACAAAGACGTTTCAGATAAAAACAAATATTATTGACCTTGTACATGTACAGGGGATGGGATTATATATGTACCTCCACTCAATGGAAGAAGAAATCCAGCTTGTCCACTGCGTCGTAAGTAATCCCACAGCCAGCAYGCAGGTCCAAGGCTGATCTCCTCTTCAGCTGAATGGTAATGGAAATTGATGGGTGTTGATATTGGGACAGTAAAGTCATCTTCCTTAGTGATACTAAAGTCAACTTTTATACGAGGATAAGATGGCGATAGTGACTCCGCTGCTAGACTATACGTTGGTGAAGATGAGCGATAAGAACGCACTTCATCTAAGTCAACAGTAGCTGTGACTACTTCAACATCTTGTAGAGAGAATTGGGAACCCTGTGCTACAACTTGACCATTAACAATGATCATACAACASCCATCATAGTAAACTCTCTCTGCATCACAGCCACGCAAGTTTGAGTACATATAAACACCACCACCCTAMAATGAAATAAACAGGAAAAACATTCATTGAAAAGTCATGATATAGTTTTACTGTTACCARCTATTCACCTTAAAAGTTGCTGATGTTGCAAGTTTAACTCTTTTATTCARTTTTCTTAGTTGGTGATAGCTTCCGCTRCCATTAGTAATTATCTCCACACCATCCATTGCCATAGCAACATGGTTGCTTTGGACACTGAACATTTCTTCGCAGACCTCACTTCCAATGCATGTGTCGGGTGTGGCCAGTATTCCATCACCAAAGGGAACAGTTGACTGGCCTGTTATCTCAGAGAGGATCTTGGGTAATGGGAAGTCTTCAGTCTTCCTTGCCTATATAAGTTAATTTGGGAAAACATTTGATTATTATTCAATGGCTCATTAACTTATTGATTRACAGTTCTATTGATTGATCGACTGAACATGAATAATGAGATATATGAGCATGTTTCATAACCTGATTCATTACTCAAACTAATTAGCTCATTGTCAATATATCTCTTAWTTCTTCCATCCACCAATCCATGATTCTTCTGTCTCCACCAGCTAACCAACCAAGCATTGATCTCTCTGTCCATCTTTTCATTTTCCCATTACCCTACTACCAGTTCTTCCATCCATTCCTCCATCCATTCAGTTGCCCATTTGACTAGCTCCAATCATATATTAAGCAATCTGTCCATTCCTTTATATATTTCCATTACTTCAATTATCCCTCCATCCACGAATCAATTCTAAATTGTTCTTTATTAATCCTTAATCCATCCATCCATGTTTCCTTATCTCATTTATCCATCCAATCATCTCTCCATCCACTTCTTGATTACTTCAACTATTCCTCTGGCCATTCCCCTATCAATCAATCCATTCCACCATCCATCAACCCATTCCACCATCCATCAACCCATTCCACCATCCATCAACCCATTCCATCATCCATCAATCCATTCCACCATCCACCAATCTTTTCAACCATCAATTGATTCATTCCACTACTTTATCAATTCATTCCACCATCCATAATCCATTCCACCATCCATCAACCCATTTCACCATCCATCAACCCATTCCACCATCCACCATTCCAATCCAACATGCTTTAATCCATTCCATTATCCATCATTTTGATATACAAAATAATAAAGGAAGCCCTTTGTATGTTTCGATGTCCTCCAACATCAATAACCAGAGTTTTTATTTCAAGACAATGTTCCCAAAGCACAAATTAAAATCTAGCTTTTCTTTAAATATTCTATATCAATTTTGGAATTCAATACACTTTATTCAAGAATAAAAGAGGAAAATCCACAAAACCAGAACACTTTCTTTCTTTCTTTCACTAGATTTTTTCTTTCAAAATGATCATTTTAAAAGCTCTCAAAAAGGAATARATCTTGTGTGTACTCAGAAGACATAATTCAATCAAGACAGATATTTGTAGCAAACAGGATGAAAGAAAAGAATATTTAATAAAGAAAGTATAAATACTCTGCGCCAGTAAGACGATGTTAGGTTAATTCAAGGTTAATGATTGGCGAAGTTTTGATCAAATCCATTCATAATTAACCATGATTGTTAATAATAGATGATTTSAATACCTTTGTCCATGGAGTAAACCACCTTGTTTCTCGATAATTTCCATCATTGCATAGTGTCATTTTAGGTCGAATAAGAAGGATCTTTCCATTCACAAATATAACTCGACAGTTATAACGTACATTTTTGTATAACAAAGGCATCCCAACATCGCATATGAGACCATGAGTTAAAGGGGACTTCAATAAGTAAGCAAGTCCTTGCAAAGAGTGCGTCAATGTGTCGCTCTCATAAAAATGATCCGAACAGCCATAGCCACATATTTCAAGCTCTGGTCCTAGTCTGTATGATGCTCCACGATCTTTGGCAATTTGAATGCTTTCAATAATTCGTTTGACATTTCCTTCGAAGTCCAAGGCCCACTGATTTARACAGCACGACGCAAGCGTTACACGTCGCCTCATTTTCACTTCAAAAACTCCTCTGATTTTCTAGAATCAGATAGAAATTTTAACAATGAAAMTTCTAAAGCCTTCTAAATAGATATGTCTCGCAGAATGTTGGAATAAATCTGTAAATAGAAAGAGTTTTGAACATAAAACAACTTTCAGGAAATTCACAAATTATTTTGATATGAGCCCCCAAAGTATTGGCACAGCAGTATCTTAGTCACCAGTCTATTGCGTTCATCTGAAGGAATGCCTGGTTAAATTTGCRGTTTCGTTGACTTTTCCTGTACGTTTATATTGCTCAAAGAATATTGCATCAAACATGTTTCGATGTGGGCTTTTAGTGCTTCAACCTACCCAAATTAAAGCTAGAATAGCTACAGCCATTAAACTTGCAGCTAAAGAAGTSCAAGAAGTACTGTATRTCGACGTGTTTCGCCCACAAGACTCTAGCCTTGCAGCTATGTATTGGCTCCTTGTACAGATCTACGGACGTCACTATCCAAATCAAGGTACCCTAGACATACGGCTATTGCTTCCAAATACTGACGAGACTAAACCTAGAACACTCWMCATGCATCCAGAGGCAGCATTTCTCGTTGAATCTGGTGAAAATATCAGTTTAGGCAGCCTGCATTCCTGGATCTTACAGAGGTACAGMGGACTGTCGCAAATACAAACAAGAGTTTTGAATCAAGTGGATGTGAAAGCACAGTCTGTTGAGACTTTGAGTCCTACAGTGTTGAGTGATTATGCTGAGGTAGCATTAGGGGGRACCTTTGATCATATTCACAATGGGCACCGGCTCCTTCTGGGCGTGGCATGTCTACTKTGTCAAAAGAAAATCACAATTGGTCTTGCTGATGGGCCTCTTTTGGCGAAGAAGGTATTGAAGGAGCTTATTCAGCCATTTGAAGAGCGCAAGAAAGTTCTAGAAGAAATGATCAAAGATATTAAACCTGGTATATGTAGCAGTGTTATGCTTCATTTGTTTATTAATTCAATCAGTTTAATTTGTTAGTTCATTCATTTATTCATAAAAATTCAACCATCCACTGACAACCTATGTTGATGATGACATGTGATGTAAATAAGCAAAAAATGTTTAAACAATTTGAATGAATATAATCAAGCCATCTTATTAAAATGTTTTCGTACGTAGGATTCATTATAAATACTCAGTTTTGTTCCTTCTACGTGTGTTTTAATATTCCGAGCTTTCGGACAACTTGTCCATCATCAGGGCAAAATGAAATTACAATGCGTGCGCGTTGTCTGAAAGCTCGGAATATTAAAACACATGTAGAAGGAACAAAACTGAGTATTTACAAGCCATCTTAGTTGACTATGACACTACACAACAGTTTGTCTAAATGTTTTCATTTTACAGGTTTACAGCCTAACRTTGTATCAATCACCGATCCTATTGGCCCAGCTGGCACAGACCCAAATCTCAAGTGTCTCATTGTCAGCAAAGAAACCGAGAATGGCTTAACGTTTATCAATGAAGCAAGACAGAAAAATGGTTTACAAGACCTTGATCTTCATGTCATTGAATTAGTCAACGATGAAGATGAAGGGTTTGTTCCWCAACAGAAGTCAACCAAGATGAGCTCAACACTTGAAAGACATAAATTGCTTGGTCRACTTYTGAAGCMAGTAAAAGTTAAAGATATAAAAAAGCCATATGTCATAGGCCTTACTGGAGGCATCRCTAGTGGGAAGTCTGCTATTACAAAGAGACTCGAAAATCTTGGTGCTAAAACCATTAACTGTGACCTTTTAGGTCATTTGGCCTACGAACCAGGRAAAAARGCCTACCATCAGATAATTGAAGCCTTTGGTCAAGGAGTTGTAGCTGAGGATGGCACTATTAATCGAAAAGCCCTGGGACCCATTGTTTTTGCTGACAAATCCAAGTTAACYCAGCTTAACAGTATTGTATGGCCTGAGATTGGAAACCTTGTGCAAGAAAAGATTGACCGTTTTGCTGCTGAAGGTGCGCGCGTTTGTGTTGTCGAGGCTGCCGTACTATTAGATGCTGGCTGGGATGCTGTTGTTGATGAAGTTTGGGTTACCATGGTACCCGAAGACGAAGCYATAAAGCGCATTTTGAGTAGGGACAACATTGGTGAAGACAGGGCCATTAATAGGATAAGGGCTCAGATGACTAACGAAGAAAGGGTCTCCAAGGCACACGTAGTATTGTCGTCCCTATGGGAACCAGAGTACACCCAGAAACAGGTCGAGAGAGCCTGGATAGGTTTGCAACAAAGGTTGACGTCATTTCAAACCAACCAATCGGCGCTTTGATTTCAAAAATTTTATTTCCAGAAGCTGTTATCAATTTTGATATCGAGTTCATGTGTACAACTAAAATCGTTAACCCTCAGCTGTGGCATTCAACAGCCTTTTTGATATTGCGTATCAATTTACCTTAGCATTAACCGCTGATAAGACCACGTTTTGACGTTTTATCATCTCTGTGATCAATTTGTAGAAATCGAAAATTTAGCTGATTTGACTTATTACTAAGTATGGAAGAAATTGATTGTTCTTTTTTCGCGTTTATGGCTTCAATTCTGCTTTTGATATTTCATACAAAGACATTGCAAACAACTGAAGGCGTGCATACAATGCTTACACTTTGTTGTGTAAAAAAATAAAACTTTGATCCTTAGGTATTTAAACARAAAACAAATTGTACTTTTTCATTTTAGCCTGTATGGATTCAAAATATATCGAATATATTGCACCATTGAAAAAACATTTTATTAATTGAAGATTTCAAGGTTTGTAAGGATTGCATTTCATTCATAAAAGAGGAAAGATTCCTTGAGACTTAGCATAACTTAGGATATGAAGCAAAACAAACAGAAAMGGCAAGACAAAACAAAATATAMATTTGTAAATATATCCTTTGGCTTATTGTATTTTGAATTTTAACCTTTGGTACARTGCAGTTGTTATCATTCAAAACACTTTCAAACTATTGTCAATCTAGTTTATAATAGACAATATAATTTATCGTGATGAATGTTGTATTTAGCAAAGTTTTTTTACTGTTTCATGTAGTTTATCACTGTGTCACTGTGTCCTTTTGATCTGTGAGCATTAGTTGCCTTTGTTTCACGTTTCTACGATGTGCGTTGTCCACTTTATGAATTTTTACTTAATTTTGCTGTTTTTACTCGGCTACAAATGAACGCATCGGGAAATACTACGAATAATTGTACGTAATATTCATATAATATATARTATTCATCCTATAGGCAACAAACTTCTGTCCATGTCACAATGTCAGGCAAACAGTGCGCGTAAAATGCGCATAAAAGAGTTTTTCTCATCCTTTTGAAATGTGATAATTAAAATCTAACTCTTCTGATTTTCCTCTTCCGCGTTGTAAAACCATCAAGGTTCACAAAGGCAAATAAAGACCGTCTTGCTTGATACAGCCACATGAGTCTCATCATGCAAACAGTTTGGTAAAACACTCCTCGTTCAATGCTGAACAGAAGCAGGACATGGAAAGGAATCAAGGCGACACAACCAAAGACGCGCAGCCAAYTGGAAAGGGTGAAAATCAATGAATTTAACCTACTTTCACCTCGGTATGTTCCTATATGGATTTTTCTAACGCCCTCACAAATTTCCATTGCTTTGCGCAATCCTCTTGCCAGTGAATCAGTCAGGAAGTTTACGTCGAAAAACAACACAAAAAACGCCAGAGTAAAGCTTTTTGATGTAGCATCGATGCTTGTTATAATGAATGACAATATTATGGATTGTAAAATCCACATGTCCCATAATACAGCAAGTGATTTTCCCCTTGATGTCTCCATTATTTTGCKTTCCGGGTATCCTTAAAGAAACTCCTCTGTCAGCGTGTCACTTGAAAAGGCCATATGATAGGACTTTTTAATTCCAGGTCTTTATATGTCTCAATTCCAGCTTACTGTCAGTCCGACCTTTAACTTTGGCCTCCTTGGTTCTAGACAGTGCAGAGCTTTTAGCGGCTCAGTCAGTCAAATCGCTATCTTAAGCCAATCATTAATCCCAAAATAGAGTCACGAACGCGTTTATCTTATGTCTTTCAACAATCACATGTCGAGAATAATAGATAACCATGAAAACAATAGATAGAGACTGCACGGAATAACTAAACTGCAACAATGATTCTTTTTCTTCGGTCGGAGCTCCAATGTTCCTTTGTTACGTCAAACCTTCAATGAGAAAAATTCTATSTCTGCTCGCGCTTACTGTCACTATGGGCTGACAATATTAAAACGCGCGCAAACATGGGATTTTTTTTTTGAGAGGTTTGATGAGCTCATCACTTGATCGCTGTGATGGAGAGCACGTTCGTATCGCCTGATTTCGAGTTAGGGAAGGGTGGATCAAGAATAGAAGATATGAGTGAAGTGTATTGTGACAAAAAACATCATTTGCAGAGTTTTATACGTGCACGGGGTATTCATGATCATCTGTATGGCCATGTATTTAATAAGTTTTGGGTTACTTCAAAAAAAATTAGAGTGTAAAAGAAGTGGGAGGAAGATTGGCATTAGTAGTTCCTGGCGAATCAAAAACTTTCGTCAAAGGAGGAGCAACGAAAGTCGCTAGAAACAGTCTTCGGAGGAGAAGGAATATTTATCATGTTTTGAGTGTCCACACCGAGAACGCCCCCATTTCTCAAGYTACGTACTGTTTACCCAGAATTTGGTCTTCCTGTGGTATGACGGTATTCCTGTGTACTTCGTCGATTTCTAGCAAAACGACCAAAAAAAAAATGGCGACTTTGGATGAGGCACATTTTATTCCTCTTCCKTCACAAACTAATATCTATGGCCTCGCCAGAATAACTGATGATACAGAATCAACAAAGGTTTTAGTTGGCTCGTTAAATGGCAAGGTTACATGCGTAGAATRTATAAATAAATGGGACAATCCCTTGGCAAGAGAACTTTCTTTCACGTACATCCCTTCCGGTAAGACCATCGTTTCTTCGTTCATCTTCGTTCATAGTATGAGGGAGCACTACTATTGATAGGAATTCTAGACTGTTTTAGCACTAAATTAGTACAATTACTAAGGAAGAATTAGGTGTGGGATCGTCCTCATTGGGGTTTGAGGACTGGAAGGACAGGAGGGGAAATCCCATCACAAATAAGCTGATTATCCATAGATGCAAAGTCATGTCAGGGTGAAGCCGGTGCATCTGGTGCACCCTCCTGTCCCTAGATCTGTTGCTTAGTTATCCCCAAAATTATATGAAACAATACATATGTAATTTTCTTTTAGATTGCTCTGTTCAGGGCAGTGCATATGTAGACTCGATCTATCAAACAATAACATGATTAATTTCTTAAGGATTTGATATTCAGGTGAAGCTGAAATAGTTT